ATAGACTTACCTCCACGTGGTGCACTCTGGGCAACGTATACTCATACGGCAAAAAATTCTAATGACTGGCAGTTGACTTCTGACTTCAAACTACCCTCACACCATTGTATGTCATATTCGACTACTTTCACGGTACTCACCTCACCTTTTTCCACTTTTGTGTCTGTCTTTTACATCTTTAAAACTCTCTTCTGTACCCCCTCTCCCTCTCGACTTGTTTCACTTTGATGTTCCTCCTCCTCTGTGAAGCCTGAAGTCAACTAAAGGGCTAATGATAACTTTCACAACGCCTGCCATTTGATATAAATAAAAAAAACATATTTCCAAATACGTACCGGTCATGTGATATAGAATTATTTAATTCTAAAAAAAGAAGTTGTTTATGCTGTGACGTAGTATACATTAAAGCTAGCTTAAATAAAGATCATTCGAAGAATAATAAGGCATTTCTGAAAGCTCAGATTGGCTAGGAGATTGTGTTCAATTTCGATATGGCACTAATATATGTGCTCCAATAACACTGAATTATCACCAAAGGTGTAAAAAACGTGTAGATTACACTGCGTCTAATAAGAAAATGCTTTATTAGTATTAATCCAGAGCATAATTGAAGTTGTTTCAAAACCTTTCTAAACCCAATGTCCTTACGAATGGCAGATCAAGATAAAAATTAAGTAGGCAGCTCGTGTGGCCATTGGCTAGATCGGAGTGTATATCAATAGGTCGCTGATGCTCTCGGTGAAGATAGGAGGACATGAGGCAAAAAGAAATCTTCTTTATTTGTTCATTTTTCAGGCATCTTATTGACGCTATGGCCTTTTATAATTACCGCCCTTGTCTATATGATGTGCTTTTATAAAGACACACTTAGTTCACACCATTTTGACTATCCAATGGCATAAATGAAGCATTTAAATTATTTTTGCAAAAGAGATTTCTTAAAGAGGTATTCAATCTTGTCGAAATTAATACTAATTCCAACATGTATATCAAAAGTATACGGTTTACGTAGATAAAAAACCGTCAAATAAATATCAAAGAATTTCAATTTTAACCACAAGGTCACTGACACAGCTCTCTATCCTATTTATTTTTAATAATTTCTTAAATAATTCACAATTTTTTGAGTTTATAAACAAATATTTTTATATCGGACACTTCAGGTTGAAAACGAGAAAAGCACGAGATCAAAATACAGAACTTCGGCCTTGAAAAAATTCAATTCGTGCAAATCTCTATCATAGCTTACAGCCGACCACAAAAATGGATTGTTATTCACATTAAAGTAATTATATGACGAATAATCTTTGACTCACCTGGAGTAACATCCGACTCCTGACTTGTTGTAATAACCATCGAATCCATAAAGATTTGGAAGCATTCAAAGTCGTCGACTGCCTTTTCATAGGCCTTCATTGATTCCCTATAATTCTCGGGTTCAATTCCAGTTAGATCCTTAACCAAGGAAAATGATGCATTTTCTTTAAACTTTTTATGAAACGATGTATCACATGTTTCACTCAATTTATCGAATCTTGAGTTAAGTATGACTTCAGCACCGCTTGAGTGATTATATGAGTAGGTTCTTTTGAAATTTTGAAGAAAAAATGTATTGTGAATGCCAAAGACAAAGATTCATATAACAACAAAAAGGTATAATGACGAAAGGGAATCCTTTAACTTATTAACTTAAAAAAGTCACTTGAAAGTGCCTTAATGAATATAAAAAGGATCTTATGCCCTAAATTCACCGATTAACCATTCTTTTTCTATTAATTGGGGGAGAAAAATCAATTAATAATAATTTCCTACGTCTTTCGGATTAATATGTGGCAGAATTATGCAAGGAAATATGAGGAACTTTATGGGAAACACAAATTGTCCTACATATTCAATTGCAATAGATACCAAACTTAAAGGTCCTCCTATTAAAAGAACAAATGGAGTACAACCCGATATAAGTACAATCCAAATTACGTTTAATGCTTTTAGGAGTGTTAACAGGATGGGTTTGAATTTATTAGATCGAATGAAATCTACACTGGGACGGAGTTAATGGTTAGACAGATGTGACTGGAATGCAGTTGAGAGAAGGCATTTCCAGGTTTCTGTAGAAAATCAAATTTAATTTTGCCCACTCTCAACCGTTCCGCCCACGCATAAAATGTAACAGAAAGCGTTGTACACATGATCATTGCTTTGGCAGATTCCGTGTCCACATGGAAAGCATTGACAGGCTAGGTGGAGAAATTAACCAACCATTAAATGTCAATATTTAATGTAGGAATGGGAATCAATTCAGGACACCAAGTGTATATCAATTCCTTTGATCTCCAAACGTCCCAATTGTCAAATTTTGCATTTAATGAATTTAGTCAAATGCTGCTATTAGAAAATTCGATTATCTGGATTAAAGGACGTGGTTAAATTCCTAGTCATGAAATTTTATGATCTAGGTATTTTCTAATATAATTAATAATCCGCTCATTACTAACAGGTGATTGTGGCTTTTCAAGAGTGATCAGACGAGAGGCATTGGATGACCATAGATTTGTTGGACGGGAAGAATTGGAAGGAAAGAGGGAGGCGTCAGTACAATTGAGGATAAGCCAGACTGGGAATAGTAGACAAAGTAAGCTGGGATCTGAGCCACTGGATGATTTATCCTCTATGGCTTATTGGTTGGTCGTGACATCAAAACACCTACCTCATCCCTCAGTCAAATATCAGCTGCGTTCACAGTACTAATTGGAAAGTGGATTTAAGCTTTAACAAACACTTGGACATAAAAAACTCTCTCTTAGATTTTTATAATGTATGGAATAGTCAAAATCATTTTAACTTAAAATAAACCTGTAATTTAGAGCTAGGTTGATATTCATTAGCTTAAAAAGTCATTTATTATTATCGAAATTATGATATTATGTGAAATTAAATTATATTTGTGGTATTTAAATGAAATCTTTATGAGAACATTCTTAAAAACAAAATTTTGTGAATTTTTTGTTTTTAGTTTTGCTAACTTTAAAAATATAACGCAAATGACCAACGGAAAAACTACGACTTTGTCAACAAACTGATATTGAATTGGACTGGAAAGTGATTGGTTGGTGTTGTCGCGTAAATGATATCACCTCGTAATCAATTGGGCCTATGTGAATGCAGTCGCATGAATGAACAAGAGGCTTTGAAACTGAGAATTGACTTCATTTCCGACAAAATTAGCGTTTACAAAATCTTCAAGAAACCCAGAATAAATGAGTGAGGGATAGATTAAAGTCATTTCAATAAAACCACTAAATAATTCTGAAATCTCTGAGAACATAATTTTGAACCTAGGGGACAGAAATTTAATTTTAATATGCTTAAATTAGAGCCATCAATTCTAAAAGTCTCGGGGTATTCCTTTACCAATAAAATCTCCATATGTATCTTACCACTTCGTCATGCATTAGTCCAGCCAGCTTAGAATGCTCTAAAGCAATCTGCTGAAGAATTTCATACTTTCTCCTCAACAACTCCCTCGCGTCCACATTCTCCTTATCCACAGTGATGGGAGGTGGAGTATTCCTCTGCGAATCGCCGTCACTACACTTGTTCGTAGCGTGCTTCTTTCGCCACGAATACTGAGGTAATTGATTGCCGTCGGTTGAACTGCTGTTCTCCCCATCATATGTGAGGCTCCACATGAGACTTGGCTCACTGCTCAAGTTCTCAGAGGTGATGGAGGTGCTGACGGAATTGCTGGTTAAGGATTTTGGGGCGATTTCCGAATTACACATGCTTAACTAAATGGTTAAGTACATAACTCTCTCCATCCGGTGCCTTCTAAAATTAGAAAATAAGGCATTTATGCAGGAATAATAAAAAATTTTGTAAGTAGAGGAGTAGATTGACTAAGAGCAGTTGCATTCATAAACCAAACAATTTCAATAAAATATCTTATGACATGAGAATATGGTCTGATTCGGGGGGGGGGGGGG